TGGAACTGGAATAAAGGGTAAATCATTCAATTGACTCAGATTCAGGCAACAATGTGCTAAGAAGACGAATACTATATATACATAGCATGAAGTGATTTAAAAACATTATTTTATCACGATTGAAAGAAAAAAAAAATGGGCCTTCGTTTTTCTGGTTTTCGGTCTTCGTTTTGTAGACACCCTATGGGTATCTATAAAACAAAGACCCTTAAGTATTTCTTGATATTCCTCATTTTATTCCGATAAAATAATGAAATAGGTACTTGGCACCTGTTTTATGATGATTTTGAAATACTTTCAATAAGATAATTGAGAAATAACTGGAGGTCTTCGTTTTTCGGGTCTTCGGTCTTCGTTTTGTAGACACCCATATAGGGTGTCATGGTGTCTATAAAAGGAAGACCCTTGAAAATTTCACAAACAGACGCCCAAAAAAATTTCTTAATTTGGATTTTGTGAGAGCCTGGCGTATTATCATTAAATGAAAGAGAAAAAATAGGGGTCTTCGTTTTTGGGTCTTCGGTTTTCGGTCTTCGTTTTATAGACACCCAACAAAAAGTTCAGAATTTGGAAAATTTTGCCATTCTTGTGGTGAATCTTTAATGGAGGACTCAACTTCTAATATTAATACACGAAAACGGCCAAGTCCAAATGAAAGTCCATCATCAAGTAGGCCTAAGCTTGCTCGTCTCTCATTTGAGGCTTTCAGAGATAGGAAAGAAAAGGAAAGGAGTTGTACTAGATTCACCAAGAAAGCCGTGTCAACGAAAATAGAGAAAAACCCCGAGGTCACCATACAGATCGGTCTTTTAACGTGATGGTGTGCTGAAAAGTGTCAGGGGATCATCTCTTCCCTTGAAAGTAAATCCTTTGATAGGAAGGAGCTCTTTAAAAAAGGGGCCGAAATCATGATCAAGTTTAACAAAGAGCTCATCAGCTTCCCAGAGGCTTTTACTTTATTATACCCTGACAGAAGTGCAGTGCAATTTTTGCCAGGTAGTGAGGAGGTATTTTCCTTACAAAGATTTACTTTGTATTTATGCCGAGCTAGGAAAATCCTACCAACGGATTACTTTGTATTTATGCCTCAAAATGGATTATAACGAATGAACTGAATTTGAGTCTTCTTTTTAGCATCTCTCATCTGACCTGACCTCAGTCTGATGTCAACTAATATGAAATGCGCGCGCGCAAAGGCTTTTCCATTTTGTTTGCAGGGTTTCCTTTTTTTGTTTGTAGCGTTTCATTTTTTTGTTTGCAGCATTTCCTTTCTTGTTTGCAGCGTTTTCTTTTGTTTGCTGGTGTTTTTATTTTTTGCTTGCAGCGTTTCTTTATTTGTTTGCTAGTGTTTTTATTTTTTATTTTTTTGCAGCGTTTCTTTTATGTTTGCAGCATTTCTTTTTTGTTTTCAGCGTTTCATTTTTTGTTTGCTGGTGTTTACTATTTTTGTTTGCATCTTTTCTATTTTTGTTTGCAGCGTTTCTTTTTTGTTTGCAGCGTTTATTTTCTGTTTCCATGATTTCTTTTTTGTTTGCAGCGTTTCTTTTTTGTTTGCAGCATTTCTTTTTCTTTGCAGTGTGTCCCTTGTGGGCCATCGTAGATCAGTGTATAATTCCCTTTCCAGGGGCGGATCCAGGATTTGAAATAGGGGGGTTCATTTTCCCATAAACCCAAAGGGGGTCCAGGGTCCTCCCCCGGGAAAATTTTGATGCCCTGTTGGCCGGAAATATGAGCTTTCCCGACTTCTGAGGTGTCTTTTAATGACCTTTAATTTCTTCAAAATTCAAGGTTTTACCCCTCTTAAAAAAGGTCAGCTGATTTTATCTCATTCTTAGGCCTATACGAAAGAAAATAAATCAAAAATATAGTCAATATATTATTAGGCCAATATCATACCAAGTCTCACGCATCCGGCGT